GTCTGAATCAGGTGTGTTGGAGCAGGGAAAAACATAAAATCTGTAGGGCTGCGGCCCTCGAGGACCAGGATCTCCCACCCCTGGTTTAGAYTAAATATATTTCAACAACCCAGAAGTAGACATGAAAATATCTAACCCACAATGAATCGCAAAATACTGACACTGAGCAGAATGATCTGTAAAAAGATCAATCATTTTATTATCTGGTTAGTATGTTACAGTGTTAAACAGGCAGGGAGAAACACTTAACCTGTCTTTAATGCAGTCATTGTGGGTTTTTTTTCTAACTGCAACCAAACGATCCGAATGTTACCCCCGCAGGTTTATTTGTGTGYGACAGCCAAATTTAACATTCATTCCATTGGTGGTGAAAATGACGTCGAAGCCGTACCCCACAGGTGATGGACCATGTAGAGGTCACCGATCTGGGAGAAGAACCCTCCCACCGCCTCTTTGTTGCCCTGGCGGTATTTGATCGCTCTGGCCCTGTGGATTAAAACAACACCGGTCCGAACGTGAGCCAAAAAAATAAACAAATCAAATAAAAACACCAACTAGGAGTTCTCAAATTTAAATTGACTCTGGACTGTGTCTAATAACTGGATTCAGTCTGTTTAGTTAACGGCCCGGTGTGTTCGTGTTTATGATCCCTAACACAGGCCAAGTGTTGGTGAGCTGGTGTGAGGGTAAGGTTTCAGATTTATTGTTTCAGCTCAAATACAGACATATTTAAATTATAATCACCGCCTGTCAACCAAATTATGATGGCTCGTTTGAAAAATCTGTAACTTGAAGCAGGAATTGAAGCCTTCAACAATAATTACCCCGAAATTGCTTTTTTTATATATAACTACAGTTTTTTTTTTTTAATGATGGATGGGTAAAGTGAGCGTAAATGAAAACAAGACTAAAGAAAWTGGGTTTGGATGAAAAATAAACTTGTCTTGGAGTGACGTTTTTCCATACAATTTCTCTGCCTCAAAATAAGAAGAGGACTGATGTGTTGATGGAACAATCATCATCGGTGAAATCTTTAGCGGCCAGAAACATGACGTCATCTGGATTCAAARGGAGGAAAAGTCTGACGACCTCCTCTGTGATCGGCACCGAAGGGCTTGACAGTACAGCTTCWAGTATAAGGCCTCTCAGAGGAGTAACTCTTATTAATGACAGAGGGATGTGCTCCTGYACCTACAGCTCAATGAGTCCAATGAATTCAGGCTGCCTTACCAGTAATTACCCCACTCGATCATGGTTCCTGGCTGCAGGGAGGAAAAACACAATATTCTTTATTAGAATGAGATTTAAACAGGCTTTCCAAACTTCTTCTCTCTCTCCAGATTGAACACACTAAGAGAAATGGTAAAGACACAATACAGGTTTCTATCATTAAGATAAACTGCAATAACAGCTACACTTTAACACTTCTCCTACCATACTTTAAGGCCACAAACATTCGTCACGTCACARGGAAGCTAATGAGATGGTGTGATTTGATTCAGAATGGGATTCAACTTCAAATAGTTTAATATTTGTGAAAGTATAAATATATTTAGGGAACAAAGGCATCAGTAGGGATTCTTTCTTCTCACCTGATATAAAAGCAAATTCTGCCATCAGATTATTCAGGCATCTGGGATAATCTGTGCTTGGTTTGTTCTGCAGTTTTTCCATTTCAAAATTAAATGTATAATCCAGTGGGTTTTTTTTTATACATATTTTATTTCAAAACTAACTTACAAAAATTACAATTGCAAAAATAGATGGTGATAAGTTTTTTTATTATTATTTTAATGGTTGAAACAAAGATGAGCTTTTTTTTTGTTAGAACATCGTTTGGCACCTTCTGGTGGAACTGAAAGCCAGGCCCTGAACTCAAGGCGCTTTAAGTTTTCACTTCTTATCAGATAGGCTTCTTATTTAGAGGGTGTTGACGCACCTCAAGAGTTTAAGATTTTACAGTAAAACAAAACTGCTTTAGTATTCCAAGTTCTGCAGAATATGGTTTGAGTGCTGCCATTGCCAATWTATTTCGGGATGGTTTATGTTTTTAAACAGTCTTCAAGACACTAAACTCTTCTTTGGCGGCATCTGAAATTTCTGGTATCGCTACATATTAAAACAGCAACCATATATTTTATTTTGGATTTAAATAGCTGAAGCAAAAGCACACAYGTACACAAAGAGCAGATCAGTTTGAACATTAAACATTATCCTGATGGTTCCAGGCGGACCTGCAGAGGGACGCTCTGGGTAAAACAGTTTTTCTTCCAAACAAACCAAAACAGCAAAGAAGYCTTTAAGTTTCACATTTCTACTGTCGATCTAATTTCTGCAGTTAATCTAAGGTTTAACAGGACAAGAATCCCATTGTGGGAACCTGTATAATAATGACTCTGAGCATGTTGTGAAGCCCGGACGTGATGCGGTCTGTGGGACTCACCCTGAGCTGGTAGGACCTGAGCTCGTAGATGTTGGGGCCATCTCGGGGCACGGGCTCGTTCCAGAAGCTGAACTCCAGCAGGAGCTGATTCCTGCGGGACAGCAGCATCTTTCCCCGCTCCATTCTGTACTTTGTGAACTCCTGATGTCAGACACCAACCGATAAACTTTACTTCAGTGTCACAAAGAAGGAGCAACACATGAACTGATGATGATGATGATGATTACCTCGTTCTGCCTGAGCTTGTTCATCACCTCAGTCAGAGCTGGATATCCACCTCTGTAACGCCACAGATGAACTGCAGAAACATCATCCAGTAAACACATTCACATCTACTGATGCTTATAAATACAGGGCATTTTTGCACTAACCTCCTTCAAAAAAACAACTAAACAGACTAAGTTATGATGATATTTTGATTTATTGACCCTTTCCTTGCACAAGTATGAATATGCAGTATAACTTGGCTGCTGACTGCAAACCGTGCACATTGCAGGCTTGCTATACTGCAGACGGTTATGTTGATATTAATAATCCTACCAGCCTGGTCTTGTTCTCCATACCAGGTATTCCAGGTCCCCACCAGCTCACAGGGGTAGTACTTATCAGCATGGATCGAGGGCAAAACATCCTCGCTGTAAATGAATGGTAGTTATTTTGTATTTAAAACCAAGAGAGTTTTAAAACATGCTGGTCTAAATAGTTTCAGGCACGTCCTTTAAAAGGGAACATAAAAACGACACTCACCAGAGTTTATTATATGCATCCAGGCACTCTGGCTTCACATTATGGACTGAAAAGAACAACATCATTATTAATATTTCAGGTCTGAGTTGCTAACGTCTGTGCGGTGACTTACACTGAATTTTGTAGAGGTTGCTCTCCTCGTTTTTTGTCAGCAAATTGGAGTGAGCATCTTTTCTGGGATCAACTTTCCTCACAAACAAGGACTTAAACCAGCTGTCCTCTCTGTCTCTGCTGCTGGATGTTGCAAACCCTCTGCAGAGGCAAACAGGAAGTGATGGACAGATATTTTTTTATTATGACTTCTAAACAGTTTTAGGGTGCAGGATGCTGTAATACCACGTTATATCCCTAAAATGCACAGTGACACATGCAACACAGCATCTGCATAAAATGGTCCCAGGTGTTTTAAAGACAGAAACACACGTGATGTTACTGTTCTAACATTTACAAACTGACCTTGAGTCTTTCATTTATATATTCATGAAAGAAAGATGACAGGAACTCCTATCTTTTTTTTTTTTTTTGCATTTTTCATCAGCACACGCATATCTTTAAACTATTACTGTTGCAGATAATTTAGCACAAAGTGAAGCTTCTGAATGAGCTAAAAACAGCCCTGAAGGCCGAACCGAGGCTGGTTAGCAGCAGCTTGGCTCCGTGTAGCTACACAGTGAAAAAGACAAAAAAAATGACACCAAGAAGCCAACAACAAACAAAGCACAAAACGAGGTGATAACTGCCCACCTGACCCATCCCACGAGCTGTCCAGCTGAGAGAGCACTGTTTTTAGCCGGAGCCAAACCACAGCGGACTCTCTGAAGGACTCCGGCCGCCATCTTTTACTGAGTTTACTAAAGGGACGGATGTAGTTACAGCGTCCGACGCAAGGTGGCGCCAGAGACACAAACARCTCAAGCCGAAGAAGGCAACTTCAGCTAATAACCAAAGGAAATGAGATTTCATCATTAATATAATACAAATAAGTCATTTAGACATTATTTATTGATCCTCATATGTCAATGCTTTGAAAAGAAACCGTTTTTTGTAATTTAAARTAGTTTCAAAATGATTAATAACTCTTATTGACAGAATAAATAGCATTAACAAATGCAGTTTTTTAATGAAGACGAGCTTAGCAACAATATTTCAATTTTTTTTATTTTTTTGCAAAATAACACAAAAGCTATTATCATCACTGAGAAAAACACTATACTTTTAAAGCCAGGTCACTAAAGCCAACACAAACCTTTGATGAAAACCTGGTCCAAGACTGCAGCTTTTATTAATATGATCATCTGAGTCTGCGGTTTTCCTGTTTTGACGCGTCAAACTGTGCGTAATTATCCCACATGCTGTTACCATCCAGTGTGCATCTGTGGTTGATCATATCCAAAGGGGAAAGTTATTCTTAGTTCACATCCTTCTTGCAGACATTAGTGGATTCCTGTAAATCTTGATCCATCACTGAGGAAACTATCTGAAGCGCTGCAATATGTACAGCTAAATAATACAAACTTTGTAATAAATAGTCATAATTTTGTGACCTACAACATAAGTAGTGATGAAAATTAGCCATGGTTTATAATTAAAAATGTCTGACATTAATCTCCTGTTCATTGTCGCATTCCTCCTCGTGCTTTAACATTTTTGAACAGGTGAGGGCGCTATAATCCAATAAATTAGCCATCAAAGCAGCTTCGCTTTACTGCAAGAAGCACAGCCCAGGTAAATGAACAGGGTGGTGTTTTTTTTTTTTAGGTACTATGATGCCGTGAGACAATTCTGTCTTTGTTTTAAATTTAGTATTTACTGCAAACAATAAGACAAACACAGATGGACTGCTTCCAAAACAGATGATGCTTTTTTTGTCGCTTGTCTTTTCAAAAGTGAAACAAAGACAAAATTAATAAATGCAAAGATTAAAAGACTTAAAGAAGAAAATGTGCTTTTCACAGCTTTTCAGAACTAATCATAGACTCTAAAATGTGTTTGAAGAAAATTAGAATGATTTAAAACTTTTGCACTGTAGCGTTCTGACTCAGATCTATGTGCAAGAACAGTGATGGATTMAACAGAGTTTTTGAAGGGCTGTGGTCAATTTTTCTCTCTAGAAAAGTGTAGTTTAAGCAGCATGTTTCACTAGATCAGGGGTGCCCAAACATTTCCCCGAGGGGGCCAAAATGAAAATCTATCCAGGGCAGCGGGCCAAATACACTAATATAATACATGAAATACAAATACTATTTAAAGTAAAGTCCCTTATTTTTAACGATTAAGCTATGCAATGGCCCTATTTTGTTTTAGTCTGTGCACTTGGAGAAAGTCTGCCATACGYTCAAGTAGGAAAGGCTCATGGGACTTTTCATAAATTGATAAAATATGAGTTTTTGTGGTCTTATAAAGTGTGCAAATCTACGTGTGGTCAAATCTGAACAAAATATTTCTTGTCATTTCATGTTTCATGTTTAATCCTAAAAAAAATCAAAGATAAAGTCAACACAATGAATGAAAACTACCTTCACTACCTTTTAAATAAAAGGGCTGTATACAGCCCTTTTATATAGTCATTTGACCAATGGAAATACTGTGTATATACATTGGATAATAGGTTACAACCTTGTAACTTTGGCAACTGTTGGTGGGCCAAATCAAATGGCTTGGCGGGCCAAATTTGGCCCGCGGGCCCCACTTTGGGCTCCTCTGCACTAGATAAAGTTCTGTGCTGTAACTTTCTGTGCACAGTGTTGACATCTAGCAGAGTTGAAGAGAAGATGCTGAAATTGAAATTAAGGACCCATCTTACAGAGAAAAAAAAACCTTGTTGGAAACAGTTGAGCTGCTGTGTTGTTTCTTCAAAAACCTTTAGGAAGAGCACGTCACTCCTGCGTGATCCAGCTGCACAGGGGTTACTGAGGAGCGGGTTCAACCAGGGAGGAATTCACTTTAGACTGATTTGTTATTTGACTGTGAGGCGACTACGCAGCTCATTGGAACCGTATTATTAAAGCCTTTACTTGGCTACTTATACCTGCAGTGGAATTCAGAAACTACAGAGGGATTTTCTTTTAAGTTCAAAGACATGAATCATGAGGGAGTGTTTGCGCCATGAAACATTTTTGAATAACAAAAAAAGGCAAAATGGGGGATATGTCTGGGAATTCGAGGAATGATTGTATCCAGCTAACGTTCCCTCTTAGTTAAAAAACAATCTGCACGGAGCCGGTTAATGTTCGGTGGAAAATAATAAATTAATCCATTCCCCCTCAGGTGCACAGCTTCATTAGTTCAGCCGCTCTCCAACATTTTATTAAAATGGTTTCATTTGATTGAAAGGGCCCCTTACCATCAGCAATAAACAGCAGTGTAACACCCTGCAGTGTTTCCAATCAGAGCAGATCACAATGTCAGAGCTAATCAGAGAGGCCTGATGTGTAGTTTTCACCAAGCCTTGTTGGACAAGGAATGGTTTCACAAAGGGTGCATTTTATTATTGGAAGAAATGAGATCAGCTGAAAAACAAAGAGCTCCAGTTTCACTGCTGCAGCTGCACATGGGCCGTACACTGCTGCTATAGGAAACATGTTTTGTGGAGTGTTATAGCAACACTGATGCATTTTCTGTCTCTTCTTCCTCTGCAGAGTGAAGTGAGCGCCACAGGTACCGAATGTCCGGCCCAGTTCTGTGTCCCAACACGGTTCTGTAATCTTGTCGTGCTGTTCATCCACTATAAATCACTGATCTTTTAATTTGCATGGATTTATAGTGGAACAGATGTTTTTGTTGTACAGCCCACATGTTCTTGTTGTCAGGATCTGTTACTTGTTTTTTTTTTACCATCTCTCTGCTGTCGTGCCCTCTTCCACCTGCACCCTGTTCTGTCACACCTGCCTGCAGACACTCGTCCTCATCAACCCCCGGCCTTTTTAATTAGTTTGCTTGTATTTGCACCACTTTTAGCCACATTCCACTTCTCTTTGTGCTTCACACTATAACGATTTAGATGTCCATCCATCATCTATACCAAGGATGTCAAACTCATTTTCACTGTGGGCCACATGAGGGTTATGGTGGTCCTCGAAGGGCCAGTAATGAACGTTGACATTTCATGTTTAACTTTGACTAAACAGTGTTTTAAAGGCACAGTGTGTAGGATTTGTTGTTTTCAGCGACATCTCACGGTTGAGTGGTTGAATCATCCTCCCTGGTCCTC